GACATCACGGTAGGAAGAATGCCAAACAAATCTGTCAAATCCAGCATCATTGCATGTTCTCACTTCTAGGCGGTAATGCCTAACAAAGGTCAATGGAATAGACCATGTTGCAGCACGACAGATGTTAGAAACCTCGATTCCACACTGGGAGGCAGTAGATGTTGACAGCGCTCTAACGGAATGTGCATTCAAATGATCAGGAGGTGGTTTGCCTGATAGTTCATATGCCAGAGAAATAGTTTGGATTCAGAAGCCAGTGCTGCAGGGTCAGAAGACCAGCAGTCGTAAGATCAAATCCACGCAATGGAGTGAGCTCCTGTTGCTTTGTTCCCGCTCCTTGCCAACCTAGCAGTTCGAAAGCATGTAAATGCGAGCAGATAAATAGGTACCACCTCGGTGGGAAGGTAAACCGGTGCTCCCTAGTCACGCTGACCATGTGACAATGGAAACTGTCTTCGGACAAGCGCTGGCGCTTGAGATGATTGATGTGAAGTGATTGGTCTTGTCTCGTCCATAGGCCATAAATTTTGTGATGAAGACAATGTGCTCCCCAGCTGGATGGGCTGGAGTCGGAGACCTGCACCGTCGGATGGAAGAGCAGGAATGATCGTCCAACACGGAGGTTCGACATCGATGTCCACCAAGTGAGTTGACTGGATAACTCTGGTGTCACAGTCAATTTCACAGATGGATGGTCTGTCACTGGGTTGAACAGTGGCAAGTACGACTGGAGTGACCTCATTTTGAGTCGGGCATGCTGGATTACTGATGTTGTGGATGCCATGAGCCTGAGGAGGTGTTGAACATGATGGGCTGGAATGGAAGTTTGAGATTGAAAGGGGCAAATTTCCTTCTTTATAATATAATTTAATTTATTGTCATTGTAAGTATATACACAGTATACCATACAACAAAATTCACAATTTAACCTTATAACTTGTTCCAGGGGGATGAAGGCTCTGGCTTGCATGGAGTCAAAGAGAGCTCCGATGTAGGTGACTGTCTGTGCTGGTTCGAGATAAGATTTTGTATAGTTTACTTTGAGTCCAAAGTTCTGAAGTGTGTCAAGCATGACGTTTGGTACGATGTCACAACTATCAGCCAGTCGTCTGTGTATGGGTAGATGTTTATACCCTGAAGGCAGAGATGCGCTGCAACTGGTGCCATGCACTTTGTGAAAGTCCCCGGCATAATGGAAAGTCCAAAAAGTAGGGAACAGAATTGGTACACATTGTCGAACCGGCATCTGAGAAATTTTTGATGAGACGGATAGACCCAAATATAGAAGCATCCTGTAGAGATCACAACAAACCATTCTCCTCTTTATCTGGGTTTTTTGAAAAGGCTGGTGTCAATGGGACTGATTTCGATTCTGAAAGGATGATGTCAATGGTGGTGGACCTTGAAAGGACTTGTCAACTGTGATCGGAATTGTCGATATGGCTAGAATCTCTGATATGATTGTTGTTGAAATGATTGTGGATAGAACTGAGTCTGTCTGTATTGAGGTCGTTGGTATCAAAAGGATTGTTGGTTGGTGTATGATCTTGCAGTTTTCCGTATTTTATAAAGGTTTTCCATGGTTGCATCTGTTTTCCGATTAAAGAGATCTGTGCCGTCGAAGGGAAGGTCTTCTATCCTTGACTTGGCATCATCAGACAGGCCGGTGGATCTAAGCCAGGATTCTATCCTTGACTTGGCATCATCAGACAGCCCGGTGGATCTAACTAAGCCAGGCGTGTCAGCGCAACGCTATCGAGGATGCTAGGGTCTTCGATGCTGCATCAGCCGCATATCTATCCACAATCCTTTGTTATTTTGCCAATGAGGTGGCCCGGTATGGGCATTAATCAGTTCAGTTTTGATTGATTCAAGTGCGGATTCCAGTATCGGCAGAATTTTGTTCCAAAGTTGGCGCTGATAAACGCCCATCGCCCTTGATAGTTGGCGACTCTAAGTGAAAAGGATTGGAGCAAATAAATTCTTCAGCCGATGATGTCAATTTTCCGACCTTCCTTATAGTAGGGGCCACTGAAGACTTATTTCTGGCTCTGGGCTGATTGGACTCAACAATTATACAATTGGGAGTAGGATGTTTAGCCAAAAACTCTGTGTCCGTTCCATGGGTCTTGTACAGGTTTTCAGTCCTTCTTGAGATTTGTAGTGTAGATGGTGGCTTGTCCCATGCTTTCTTGATTAGTTTGAGCATCGATGGAATAAAAAGTAAGACTTTGTGTCCTTTCTTGTTTGTCGTTGAAGATTAGATCTGCCTCAGGTGATGGAGGTTCTTCAACATGTAGTTGTAGGGATTTAGCCATTCTGGATATCATCTGTGAATAAGAAGTGAAATCCTCTGAAGGAGATGGAAGATAATTATCAATAGCATCTGAAGTTGGTGTAGGGAAGTTGGCTGGTAAGGTAGTGCATATCACACACGCTTCAGTTCTTGATAATATGAATGTCCTTGGTATGCTTCCATATTGATATGGATTGCAATATGGGACAACTTCCTCCATGTCAAAATGATGGTACCGTGGAAAATTGGTATACTGTACTGGTAGCACTCTCCATATGAAGGCATATATTGAGGAGGAGAAATATGCTTCCATTTCTCCCAATGTTTTTTCGGGGAGAGTGTTGGAGTCCAATCCTGAAAGTTGGATTTCAATTGCCCGCCCTGATGCAGGGCCAGAATGGGCCAAGGCCTGGCTGGATGGCGCATCAGCCACCAAGAGGCCAGTGTGCCTCTGTTCCTCCAGATGCTCTCGGGGAGAGTGTTGAGGAGAGTCCAATCCTGAAAGTTGGACTTCAATCGCCCACCCTGATGCAGGGCTAGAATAGGCCGAGGCCTGGCTGGATGGTGCATCAGCCATTGAGAGGCCAGTGTGGGGAGATAGGCTACCAGTTGACACCAAAGCATGAGCCTTTTTTGTTCATGGCTGTCTTCCAAAAGTGAGATCAGAGCCTTTGCTTAAGTGCTGGCTTGGTCAATTTTTTACATGCTGCACAAGAATGGGTTGGGTGTTGCTCGCCCAAGCAGAATAAACGGCATTCATGGACATCAGATAATGGGATCTCACTTGAACAGCCGACACACCTTTAAAAAGGATCTGTTGAGGCCGTAAAGAGCAGTAAACCTGAGGGAGAGATGGTTGAAGATATGGGAGGGGCAGGAAGCCAAAAGCGAAAAAGGAAAAGAAACGGAACTAATTGACAGGGGAACGTAGATTAGTTGGTTGGAAAATAGGAAGGTATCAATTTAGGTGTTGATTAGAAGAGGAAATACTAATATAGTCGCTAAAAATCGGTCAAAAACACTCTCTATTCTTCTGGAGATCCTATCAGCATGGCGGAAAAAAGGAACTGAGGGGAATCTTAGGTGGGTGGAGCATGTGCTCCACAGGGGAACATCCCACTAACTTTGTACTTTTAAGCTCTAAAATCTTCCAAGACATTCAGTGCAGGCACAAAACAACCCGATTATTGCGTTCCTATGGGCTTGAAACTCACCGTCCAGCGAAGATCCTCCATAGGGTGGCCATTTTCGCTGCCCGTGCAGCGAGGAATCCATCCCAGAAAACAGGAGGGGGGGCATTTTGTTTACCCAGTGGCCATTTTGAAACTGCTGATCAGCTGGCCAAAAATCGTCATTTTGCGAGAATCAGTTCCCGAAGCAGGGAACCGATCATCACAATGTGAAAAAAAAAAACATTTGAAACATCATAAAGCGATCGCTTCTGCGATCGCAAAAAATTTGTCATGATGCGATTTTGTCATTAAACGGGGCGCTTGTCTTGCGAGGCACTACTGTATCTTTATTTTTGTTGTGGGGTTGGCCTGCCAGCATTTGAGCCATAAGTGATGATGTACTGGAGAAGGCCTAAACTGAACTGGAATCCATTGTAAGGAAAGCAGCTTCAGTACATGACTGAGCTTAGTATCACCCGTGAGAGCATGTCTTTGGCCCATGGATCAACTGCTTCTGTAAACTGAAAACGCTTCTGAACAAGCCTGGAGGATACAGGTACAGACCTGAGAACTTTTTGAGATCAGAAATCGGGGCTCCCTCCCATATCTGAGAGTCCCTTCTCCATTCTGGGAAACAGCTGGGGAGAGTTGATGCACCAGACTCCAAGAACCTCTGGAATAGAAGAATCCCTTGGAGTAGATGTCTGAGTTCAGGGATGGGCCTTCCATGGTGCAGGCAGAGGCAAAGAAGGGGGGTTTGCTGAATGGTACTCAGAGCAGAGGCTCTTTGGCTCAGTCCTTTTGCCCCTGTGAGACTTCTGTAAGCATGAGACAGGCCTGCTCAGGAAGCCCCCTCCTTGCACAGGGAGAAATGCAACAGGACTTCAGCCGTCCCTGGCAATGGCAGAACAAGGCATCACCTTAGACTCAGCCATAGGCTGCCTCATGGGGGTCAGCCCATGACAGGCCCAAGCCATCCTCTCGGTGCAACACAGTAATGTAGAAGAGGTTTGTCCCAGAGGTGAGAAGCAAGAGAGCCAAGGGAGGAGGGGGAAAAAGGAGTAAAACGGTCTAGAGAGAAGTGAGTGTAGGAGATGAGAAAAATGAGCTGCTATTGAGGTGGAGACAGACTGAATTCCTGGGTTGTCCTCACCACCAGAGGAAGTTAGGAGCTAAAAAATTATTGGCTTTAATATCCAGTCTATCTAGGTGAATGGGCAAGACAACCCACTGTAAGAATGATCTTCCCTCCGTAGGAAATTGGGAATTAGATCATATATGCATAGATATGTCATACATAGTGTGAAATTAAAGACCTTCTCCACATACATTTTCTGAAACCTTCAGATACTCTGGAAAAATGTCAGCACTCTTATTTACAGGATAATCAGTAAGTAATATGTGACTTATGATGTTTGGTTGAAGAAGTGTTTAATATGCCCCTAACAATCTTAATCATAAGTGTTTGTATCAGAAAAGGATAGATGACCTAAGGTCACGATGGATTTAAATTGAATAGCTGGAATACTTACTGGTTGAAATATTTTCAGCTTTTTCTTTCCACTTGGATTTGCAGCTTTTTCAATGCGACCCTTTATTCCTTGGTCCTCAATGGACTTTTGTTCAATAGTTCCTATGCTTGTGAGCTCTGTGCCATCACTCGCAACGTGTCCCAACCCAGTTTCATGTTGCTCTGTTTCCATAACAGTTTCATCCTGCACCTGTAGAATGGTGCAGTTTGGGCAGATATAGTCCTCCCCATTCCTTTCCAAGAGTCGCCCACGAGCCTCAGAAATCCCTACACAGTCCCCATGAAACCACTCTTCACATCTATCGCAACAAATCATAAACCTAAAAAAAAGTATTGGTAAAGATATATCAGTTAGGTATATAAACTAAGGCTTATATACATGTATCTGAGTGCAGTCGAATGTAGTTTATGAAAGTTGTATCACACTCTTGTACCATCAGTAACAGCAAAATAGCCCTGTGGCACCCTTAAGATCTGCAAGCAGGGTTGATTTGATTTAAATCAAATTGATTTAAAGCATAATTTAAATCACAAATTAAAATGAAAAAAGATATTTATTTTGAAGAGCTAAATAAAAATTGTTTTTAGAATTTTAATTGTGATTTAAATTGACTTATTTTTAAAATTTTTATCCACCCTGCCAATAAGTTTTATATTATCTTCAGTTGCATCTGAAAAACTGCACTGCAGTCCATGAAAACTAATGCCAAATAAAATCTAGTCTTAATAGTGCCACATGACTGTTTGTTTGTTTTTACTACATCATACTGAAACAGCTACCTCCTTGAAAAAACTATTATCATCAATGTAGCAGACATTTCCACATCTACCAAAAATAAAACCAAAATGCAATTCCTCGTTACCTAATCCACCTCTTTTAAGAATTACAGATCAAAATGTTTTAGCAAAGACTATAGTACAGCCAGTGTAATGTAGCGGACAGAACAATGGACTAGAACTAAGCAGATTTGGTTTCAAATCAGCCCTGGAAACTCGCTGGGGGTGTGTGTGACAATGGTAAAATTAAAATATCTCATATGCCTTGGAAAATCTATTAGGTTGCTGTGAATCAGAAACAACTTGACAGCACATAACATACAAAGGCTTCAATATCAAGTCCAGCTGCACATTTTGCTCATATTCAACTGCATGTCTTTGTCTCCTTGCCTTTACCAGCTGTGATAATGTGGACCTCTCTGCTCTGACCTGTCAAGTATTATGTACCTCACAGCCTAGTAGGATATAACAGTAGTAGTGGATGTAAAACTGTGGCAGAAGCTCCCTCATGGCATGGCAGCATCTAAAATTGTGTGCTAGTCTTTGTATATAAAGAAACCCAACAAAAATCTGTCCCTTTTGGGAAAGAAAGGCAGGATAGAAATGTTGTAAACAAACTAACACACAAACCCTGTTATAATTGTCATCTTTTCATCCCAATGTATTCCTTCCTTCAACACAACCTGTACAATTGCAAATCTCTGCAAACTTCCTATGTGCAATGGACTTAACTGTAAAAAGTGTTCTCTTGTAGAAATATATTTATACTTTAATACTGAAGGTTCTTGAACACATAAACTTCCTATATAGACATGGCACACTGTACAGCTTTTTAAGGTAATATTTTGATACTACTGTTTGTAAAGAATACCTGTTATTGTGAGGCTGTTGACAAATACAATATAGAGTACTAGGATCATAAACTTCAGACTCCGATTTGGTCCTCCTAGGCTCTTCAGATTCATCACCAGTCTCCAAAGGAGATTTTCTCTCTTTTTTAACCTGAACTGCTTCAGTATTTCCCTTTGAAACAGCTAACTGATCTCCAGTATCAATATTATCTTTACTTTCTGGCTCTTGCTTTACTGATACTTCATGCTTAATTTGTTTGTCTGTTTGGCCATCAACTGACTCATCAGAGTTCTGCTCTTGATGTTTTTTCCTGAGGTGATTCTGTAACTCTTTCAGTGTTAATTCTGTAGGCTTCTCCTCAACGCGTTTCTTCCTTAGACGGTTCTGTAGTTCTTTCAATGTTAACCCATCACTATCACTGTCAGATGTATCCTCTTCATCTCCCTCTTCTTCCTCAGGTTCCTTAGTTGAGCTACTCTTACAAGCTGATGGGCCCTTACTCTCTTTGGAGCGGCCCTTCTGATTTACATTTTTTGTATCTGGCATACTTTCTACGCTGCCTTCAGAAGCAGTCTCAATATCAGTAACATGGCAGGATGCTGGTTCACCCAAGTCCTCAAGAGCTGCAGGAAGATTCCTCCTTCCCCTGCGCCTCACTGTTGTAAGAAATTCTTCTACCCGTTCAGTGCGTTTTGGTTGTCGCCCACTACGCCTAAGAGCCAGGTTTTGATGCTGTGCAGACGACTGCTCAATGATGTCCATGTCAGCATCTCCTAAACCTTCACGCTTTGCAATTGTAGTTCTCCGAAATCCCCAAGTTTTCTTGAACTCTTTACTAGTGGGCTTAATTGTTTTTTGTTCATCCTCATTGCTTTGCTCGCCTCTGTCATCCAAAGCTGATGTTAACAAGAAAGGGGAAAAAAACCTTTGCAGATTTTAAACATGTTAACTATTTTTCTAATGAGCACAAGCATAAGGCATGAATCCAAATAGAAAGAAAATCAACAGTTCTTATTAACAGTTCTCATTAAACAAAGTTATAGCACAAACAAGATAAATTTAAACCTCCGTAGTTCATCTAAAAGTATACAGTACTAATTACAATATATTCCTTTGAACATGTAAGACATATTTTTAATGTTCAGTTATCTATATCTGTTTCCAAATTTTAAATCTCAGAGTAAACAGTGTGATCACATAAGCCCTGTGATAATCATCACACTGTTTTCAGAAGGATAACTGAATATCCTGGCAATGAGGAGACAACAGCAGTGATAAGTAGGAGCAAAAGATATGAAGCTGCTGTCTGTTACTTATGTAGAAGCCTGCAAACAACTATGACCTCAGAACTACAATTAACTACACGTGTGTCCTTCCAGGTGCTGGACTGCAGTTTCCATCAGACTTGGCCAGCACAGACAATAATGTAAAAAGATGGAACCTGTATTCCAACATCATCTAAAGAGCTACAGGTTGCCAGCTCTGGACCTGGGCAGAGAACTGTCTAAGAGTGCAACAGTCTTTTATTTTCCTTTTTGACTCCAACTCTCACAATCTTGTAAAAATTCCCCAGGTAGAATTCTGGGGAGTTCTAACCCACAGACACCTACATTTCACTCACCTAAAACAAGGCCTGTCTTCCAGGCTGTTTGGCTATCTCAGGCTTACTGCTGTTAACATACAAAAGGAAACTACACAGTGATTCCTCAGAGGCCTTGGCCGTTGTGGGAGGTGCAGTTCATTGAAGAAGTCCTCTAACAAAGACTAATGGGCATAAAAAACTACAGCCCTCATGAAGACCTAGGCGTCCCTGAAAGCAGCAGGACATTTCCCTTTTTGTACTTTAACAGTATGCCTGAGACAGCCAAGCGGCCTATCAGATACGCCTTGCTCCAGGTGAGTGAAATGTCAGTGTGGCCGCAGGCTGAAACTCTCAGAATTCTGCCTGGGGAAGTTCTTAGATAACTTATAGAATTCTGCCTGGGGAGACCAAAGGAAACCTATAAAAAGGAATGGGACATCCCTTGTACTTATGAAAGACTTGCTGTCTATAAAAGCAGCACACAATTTAGGTTGTTAAAAGACATGTTTTTCATGATAACTATTCTCATTAATTATGGTGAGACTGACAGGAAAGGCCAAAATTCTGTTGTGTAACATAGTAAATTGCACTACAGTAGGCCCACTGAATCAATGAGGATTTCGTGAATTAACTCCTCCATAACCTCCGTTGATTCCCATAAACCTATTTGAACTGTAACTCACTAAAGTAAGTTGCAGTTACAGTAGGTTCAATGAAGATGACACACCAAATTCCCATTGATTCAGTTCGCCTACTGTAGTGTGATTTGCTATGCAACAGGATTTTTGCCAAAATGTGGCAATTACAGAGTAGAAGTGTTTACAGTTCCAACCACATTATACTGTTCTCCCCACCCTCCCAATATTCAATTTTCCCCACAAGAAGTCAGCACTCTATGCCCACTGGGCAATGGTTAGTCTTCATAGGGTTGTGTGTTTTGTGCCTCAACTTTTAACAGAAAAAGATATTTGTATTTTTGCAAACACTAAGATACACCCAGTCCCACTGATAACTCTTCTGTTGTCTGCTTGTGTCATGTGAATGATGGCACTCACAGCCTAAATACTGGAAATAGATGGAATGATAGTACCATGCTTTTATGAAATTATTTTCCTCCCTAAGCAAATCATTTACCAAGAGCAGGATTTTCCATATTAGATTCGGACTCCACTGCAGATTCCAAATTTTCTTCGTCCATACTAGAGATTCTACTGCTCCCAAGTGTCACCTCTGAAAACAAACAATAATAAAACACAGATGTATAACTTTTAATTGACTTTCAATTAATGAAAAAGCATTGATGGTGACAAACTATAAAGGTTCTCTTTTGGGACTGGAGGGGTTAAACATTTAGCTAACTGAATATTAAAAAGGAGACCCTCAATAGCTACAGTTTCTGCCTAGCTTGCATACATTGTTAACTGTGACCTGGCATATTGTTGGACTGGGATGTGGGCGTCCCACCTCAGCCAAGAAACTCACTGAAAAACCTTGGGGTTAGTCACTCTTAGCCTGACCTAACTACAGGGTTGTTACAAGGATAAAAGTAGGGAGAAGGGACTCATGTACATTGCCATGAGCTTACCAGAGGAAAGGTGAGGAACAGAAATAGAGATAAACTCACTCTATTATATAGAAGTATATGAAATTACATACTGTACTTCTTTTAACCACAGAAAGGCCTCAGGCAGGCTAAAGTATATTACTATAAAGCCAATATAGTAATACACAACAACCGGCTAATATTTCTTTGAAAAAAAAGTTAGAAAATCTTTATAGGTTGCCTTTCACAGAACACCTTAATTTTCTATGTAAGGAAGCATAAGACTGTGTTCTACATTAATAATCTGAAAGGGACATGAAAAAATAAAGATCAGATATGTCAGTTTATCACAATTAACTTCCAATGCTGTTAGTTCCTTTTCAAAGGATCTGCAACATTTAATTCCTAATAATGTATTCCCCTATCCATCTTACATTCACATATGCCCAGTCACTATGCAGGTATACTCCTGGCAAGAATAAAATGTCTAGGAAAAATTATGCATGGATCTAGACACCAACCACCAGGCTTCCAATTCCCCTTCTACTTATGATACCAGTTCCACTTCTCCAAACTGAACTGTCACCCTATCTATTCTTCTCTTCTACTGTAATCTTCCAGTGACCTTTCACAGCACATGAACAGTGCCTTGAACAAGACTGAATAAGATCATAAAATGTTGCATATATTTGATTTATTCTGGTTAGATCTGATGAAAATTGCAGTCCAACAGTATCTGAACATCAAGAATCTGCTCATTCATATAAATGCAAATTAAGGCACAACTCCAAGCTCTGCTCCGCTGGTTCTCCACATGGGATTATCCTGTTTTTTAAAATCTCACCTGCCAACTCCTTCACAACATTACAAATTTTCCCTTGAACTCAATGACCAGTACGATTGCCAAAGAAAACTCTTAAGTGGCAAAACAGAAACCCAGCAGCATTTTACCAAGAACTCTATGAGTACTGTGGCCCCCTAACTGTATGCCCACCAGGATGTTTGATGTTATGGAGGCAGCAAAGCTAGGACAAATACCTGCCCAAGATCCTGTACAACCGTTCTGGAATGAGATTCATGTTTCTGTTCTGATTCAGCACAAGCACTGGTCCAATTACCCTACCGAATATCACACTAGAAGTACAACCACACTGATCAGTGGTCACTCTGTAACACCATAACTTCTTATTTCCCCAAATAACACAATTTCTATAATTGAGCCTCTGCAGGACACCCACAAGGCTTGGCTTCTACTTTTCAAGCCCTACTTTGAGAGGCAAACTATTTCACACAAAAGCTTTACTGAGACATTCTCTCACACACCCTAGATGCTATTTGCATTATACAGGGATTACAGTAGAGCGGGTGGGTCCCTACAACATGCTCCTGCTTGCATTTCTACAGCTCCTAAGTCTGAGCTCGACCTCTATGGGAAAGAGCCTCTTCTATTTTGAGTGGGATCTTCATATGACCCTTAACTGGCTTCAAACATTAGAGCAGAATTTTTAAAGGAAAAAGAGCAGTTAATATGTAATTGTTTACCTCTGAGGGCAAAGGAAGGTTAAGAGTGCAGCAGCTGAATGCTGATTTCTAGAAAAGAAAAAAGAAACAGAAGATTCTCCAATATCCTCTAAATAATTTTACCTGACACAGTATTAGAGGTTGCTGAGAATTTTTTTGCCTGTTGATTTAAACCAAAGGAAGAATCACTGAAGGGTTGAAGCAAGTCAAAACCACTCAGCGTAACCCCTACAGCACATGATGTGCTGCTGAAGTCAGAAGTACACTGTTCATCTTGATGCCATCCTGAAGACTCCGAAACCAGCAATACTCCAGTTGATAAGGCTGCCTGTTACAGGAAAATGTATTTATATGTTTGTTTATTTGAATTACCTGTTTACCATCTGTGTTAAAAAAATTCCTATTTAAACAAATTAATTAAAATTTATGTAAATATTTCTTAAAGTGATAATTTCCTTACCTTACAGACAAAACAAAATTTATTGAACTTTTTACCACATATACTTTGCATTTGACAACCAAATCCATATTTTATCCCTTCTTAAATGTTTTACACAAAGGGAATTAACTGGATACATGTACCTTAAAAAAAAAATAAAACAAAAAGATCCAAGGCAATTTACCAATTTTGGATTTGTTTTTGAACTTGGATTTCTTTAGGTTTAGGATTAGGGTTACCTACATAAATTGGGTGTCCCAATACAGCATAACTTTAAAAACAGATTATGTGTTTTTAAACATTTTTAGGAGCACTTCGGTGATTAAATCCCTTTCTTTGATTGGGTTCTCGACCTCTGAGTGCTTCCTTGTTCTGACTGTACTGCTTCTGCTGTTAGCTTCCACCCTTTCACAACTGACCTGTGCTGCCCAACTGAAAAATCCCAACTGCCACAAATCAAAAGCCTGAAGATTCTACCCCATTCCATTTAAAGGGAAAGCGTGTGCACTGATCTGTCAATGGCATTTGTCAGAGACAGAAAATAACAGCAGCTTTGGTTTAAGATAAACACTGCTAAAATTGCTACTGCTAACACTCTCAAGTTGCAGTAATGACTGAAATGTAGCAGCCCACTCACAATCACATAAAATCTGCCTAACAATATTGTATCTCACATATTTCTGCCTACTTACATTTTACCACATACCCACCATGGCTTTTGAAATCTGCCAAAGGGATTACTGTGGATTGGGTCGTAAATATCAAATGCTTCACTGATGGAGAGTTATTTTACGCCCAGTGTGAAGGAGACCAGCATATGGCCCACCCTAAAATGCTCAAATCTGGCAAACAATGATCTAAATAATTTTAGGCCTATTGCCAGTATTCCCTTTATGGGGCAAACTGATCGAGTGAGTGGTGGCGGAACAGCTCCAGACATTCCTGGAGGAGGGATGCCTAGACTCATTCCAGTTTGGGTCCAGGTCCTGACATGGAACAGAGACAGCTCTGGTTGCACTGCACAATGACATTTTAAGGGAAGCTGACAGAAGAGGAATGACCCTGTTGATATTCCTGATCTCTCAACAGCCTTTGATACTGTCAATCATGGCATCATCTTGGATAAACTGGCAGGTATAAGGATTGGGGGGGGGTTTTCACATCTAGCTAGTTTCAGTACTTCCTTGACGGTAAAGTCCAGAAGGTATAGCTTGGGGAGGAACTGTTGGCTCCATGGACCCTTAAGTATGAGATGCCCCAGGGGTCATCAATCACCCCAGTGTTTTTAATATCTATGGTAAGCTGCTAGGAGAGGTCATCCAAAGATTTGAAGGCTGTTGCTATCAATATGCTGATGATAAGCAACTCTATCCTTTATATCTTCCGCAGTAGATGATCTCTACATACTCAAGCACTGCCTGGCCTCAATTCTGGAATGGACTAAAGCTAAAAGGCTGAAACTGAAACTGGATAAGATGGAGATCCTCCTCCTAGGGTGGGTGAGCTCTGGACAACCTGTGAAGTTGTCTCCCCAGGTTGTACCATGTAATCCTCCCTCTTGGGGATCAGGATCATAACTTGGGCTCATTCCAGGACCTGGACCTTTATTGAGAATCCCAGATTGCAGCCGCAACAGGTCAGTTTTAACTAAGGCTGGTTACCCAGTTATGACCCTACCAGGACTGGATGTTGGTACACTAATGATTTCAAGGAACAACTACTGTAATGCTGTCTATATGGAGTTTCCCCTGAGGCTGGCCTGGAAACTGCTACAGCAGTTGCAAAATGCAACTGCCAGGCTGGTCTCTACTGTAAATAAAGTCAATCACATTTCCCAGTCCTGGCTTGCCTGCACCGGTTACATGGGCTGTTCTGGGAGAGGTTCAAGGTTTTGATTCTGACCTATAAAGCCCTCTATGGTTTGGGACCTTGTGACATGTTGGAGCACCTTCCCCTAAGAACATCAACCTGTGCTAACCAATCCATGCAGGCTATGCTCCTATGGGTTGCCACTCCAAGGGAGTCCAGGAAGAAATTGGGTCTTCTCGGTTGTGGCACAATCCCTTTGGAAAGTGTTTCCACTGGACCTGCACCTTGCCCTCTTCTCTCTCTGCCTTTAAGAGGATGTTAAAAACTAGGTTGTTCAGAGAAGTCTAGGAGCATCCTCAGTTAAATGTTTGTTTAGACTCCTGTCACGACTTTATCATTGTTTAGGTCTACTTCATTTTCACACAGTCATATTGTTACTTCTTGCCTTTATCATTTTGTTTTTATTTGATTATTTGTTATTTTTATCTATCTGTTACTTTATGTTGAGTGCTCTTTGATGTAAACCAGCTGGAGTAGTGCCCAGCACTAACTGGGTGGTATACACAAGTCTATTCGAATGAAAGAATGAATGAACGATTAAAAAAAAATTACTGGTCAGTAAATGGTCCCTACTACAGTTTATGATGGGATTTAATATTGTGACTTCAGGATACATTATTTTGGTATAGCCATTTTAGATGGATATTTTCAGTTAAACGAAGGCACTTTTTATGAAAATAACCTTATGTGGATTGAATCAACCTCTATATCAAAATTAAAATTCAGCAATGCATCTGGGTAATGTGATCAAAAGATATTCTGGAAGGTTTTCTATATACTATGCAAATAAAGTCAACAATGGAAGGACAGGATGGTCTTGCAAGTCCTGTAACATTAAGGTACTAGATACCTTCACTAAACTGCCTTGTGCTTCATTGCCTGAAGCAGTAGCTACATCCCAGGAATCAGAGCTTGATGGTTGAAGAGATTCTGAGTTTAAAGAGCTTTCTTCCATGATGTTGCTTTGTAATAACCTCTCAAGCTCTCTGTTAAGAATCTCCAACTCATCACACATCATGTAATTTTAAAAGATCTGCCAGAAGGAAGAGGAAAACAAATTGGCTAAACACTCAGTATTAAATTCAAAAGAAAAAAATCCCTTCTTATTTCTAAGGCAAACTAACAAAATCTGACTCTGTAGCTCATTTTTTACAATACAAATGTCGTATCTCATCAACAAGATAGCTACAAGAACTTCACCAATTTATGTTAGGGAACACATGAGATACTCAATTCCTGAACATGCTCAGCCAGAAGAACATGTTAGAGCTTACTGTAACGGCAGGAGCAACCAGCATACAATTAGTTAATTTTCTTCTTCTTGAAAACTGCTAGCTGCATTTGAGAACAGATTGTAACTTTACCTACTCTGAAACAAAGTAACATGCACACATTAAATAAAACAGGAATCCTACAGGGTTTCTGCTGCCAAATGAGAGCATACTGTATATGAAAGTCACTAAAGATAAGAGGCAGCCTGTATGTGCCTTGACATTATTCTTAGAATATCACTTATACATGATGGACAAAGGACAGACAAGGGCTAAGAGGCATGGACAGAGTTGCCATTATCTGCAGTAATATTGCCTCCGCCTGTATTGCTGGAATAATGGTGGAAAAGGAATACAGAACTTTCTGATACACAAGCACTGCATTCAGTGAGAAAATCAATACTGGAAACTTCCTTAAAGGCAACCAGATGAACTTCAATCATAAGTGAAAATATTGCACCTACTTATGAAATTGTTATTTTCAATATAGATACAAATTATTCTACCAAAAGCTGGTCAATATATTTATTGTGCAGGAGAATATATATGTTTATCTTCACACTTATTTACCATGTTTCTATCTATGTGTAAACAAAGGCATATCAGGCCCATTCTGACTACACACTTTTGGCCGAAGTTCTCTATAGTAGTAAATTTCTCTTTACTATTGTTAAATGCCTTCAAGTTGTTTATAGCTTGTAACAATCCCCTTTTATGGCTGAAAAACGATCTATCACATGGCTTCTTTTATTGAGTCAATTCATCTCTTGTTGGGTCTTCCTGTTTTCCTACTGCCTATTACTTTTCCTAACACTACTGTCTTTTCAAGGATGTCTTGTGTTTTCATTTTCTCTCCAAAGTCTGTTCAGTTTCAAAATAATTTGTAAATTAACAGCGGCATTTAAGTGGTATAACTGCTCTCATATCATGACTGCTATGTAATTATACTATTTCCATGCCTTGTTCTAGTTATATATGTTTCTAAGCATGACAGATTTCTATAAGCAAATAGCTTCTTGCATCATATGAAACTTGAAAAGCTTCAAAAATTCAGCCAGTTGTGTCTTATCTGTGGAAAGAACAAGGAATATGACCTAGATGTTGAAGCAAAACTCAATTCATCTTATGCTGGCTTAGGCTAGAGCTGATAGGTGCTAAAATCTAACAACAGCTGAAGGGGTGCACTTTCCCCACTTTTACTCAAAATCAAGACTGAATGGAAAAAAAGTTAATATCTGCCAAATAAAGCCTTGGGTGAAGCCAACACCTTTATAACAAGGTATCCCGATCAAACATCTATATATCTACAGTGGTGCCTCGCTTAACGAGTGCACCGTATAGCGATGTTTCCGTATAGCAATCCCTTTTTCGGGATCGCTATACGGAAACATACCCGATCTTTGCAATGGGGAAAACCCGCATTGCGAAGATCGGGTATTGCGGCGGCCATTTTGGAGCCGCCGAACAGCTGATCGGCGGTTCCAAAATGGCCGTCGGAAGCCCGGAAATGGCTGCCGGCAGCCGTTTTCGCGCCCTGCCCTCGCTTAGCGAAGACGCGAAAATGGCTGCCGGCACCTGGAATCCTCGCTGAACGGGTAAGTAACGAAGGTATTGGAACGCATTAAACGAAGTTTAATGCGTTCCAATACCTTTCCCCTACCCGTTTAGCGATGATTCCGTATAGCGAGGGTTAATCCGGAACGGATTAACCTCGCTATACGGGGCACCACTGTATATCTATACACACACAATATATATGTATGTATGTATGTACCGTGTTTCTCCGATAATAAGACCTATCCCGAAAGTAAGCCCTCCCCTTAATTTGTAGGATTCCTCTAAAGTAAGCCCTCCCCCGAAAATAAGCCCTGTTGCCCTACTCGCGCCCTGGGTAAGCTTACCGAGGGCGCGAAAAAACATCCCTTCAGCAGAGCAGAATGCAGTAGGGAGAAAGCAGAGCTTCGCCCTTCATGGCAGTGCTTTCGTCTCAGGGCG